AAAAAAAAAAAAAAKGTCAGCCGTGGCRCGGTAGCTCATGCTTGTCGTCCCAGGGACTGGGGAGGCTGAGGCAGGAGGATCTCAAGTTCAAAGCCAACCTCTGCAACTGAGCAAGACCCTATCTGAAAATTTTAAAACAGAAAGGACCAAGGATGCAGCTCAGGGGTAAGGTGCTCCCAATACCAAAAAGACCAACCAACAAAAATAGTACAAATAAGTTTCATGGTCAGTTTTAGTAAAGGTCCTCTTAAACCTATAGAAGGTTTTGGACTTAGGTATCTAGTTTTGTGTTTTTTTTTTAATCACGATCTTACAGAACTAATGTCCAGTTGGTTGTCAGATGACTCAGAAGCCCTGGAGCGACAAGGGCATGGCCCAGGGGAGCTGTATCACGTGGTGAAGAAAAGAACAAAGGACAAGGGCTTCACCGTCAGCCCCACGGTCCCTCTCTGTCTCTGCCCAGTGCTGCCAGTGACCTCCAGGCCGTCATTGACCCCCCCCCCAGCCAGGCCAACGAGGTACCAGGTGTTAGCCGCCTGCCCCGTGCCAGCGGCTGATACTGAATCCCCAACAGCACCCTGAGGCCGCCCTGTTCAGGACAGAAGCCACGGGTCACAGGTGGCTATTTCTGTTTCAATTGAATGAATGAAAATTAAATAAACTTGAAAATCAGCTCCTCCATCATCCCGGTCGCGTTTCCAGAGCTTGATGGCCACGTGTGGCCGGGTCCACTTCACTGCCCATTAGAGAGCTCGACTGTTCTGTCGAACCAAAGGGTCCTCACTCCCAGGTCACAGACGAGGAAGACTGAGGCCCAGGCTGACCACACCAGGACTGGCTCTCAGACCTCGGATCCCAACCAGTTCTGATTCCAGACCCCCCTCCACACACACACACACACACCACACACACACACACACACACACACACACACACAGGCCCAGCACTGAGCTCTGTTCCTAGAACAGAAAGACAGATGGACCTGGAGGAGCCCTCCCAGTGGGGAAGGCCTCTTGGACACTCCCCAGCCCTATCATGTGAGTTCCATCACCAAGCTTTTCCCACAGAGCATCCCATTGGTTGTTCGCAAAGCCCAGAGAGATACAGCAACATGCTCAAGGTCACACAGCAAGCTCTCGAGGATCCTAACATCATCAGAGACACGGGTGGGTTTGGAGAAGTTTGGGTTTATTTTCCCTGGCAACCTGGCCCGCACTACTAGTGTTACCATGGAGAGAAGAGTCGTGAAAAAATGACAGTACAGAGCTGTCACCCTGGAGCCAGGGACTCAGAGACACCTTCCCCATGGAACTGGGCATGTCCTGTCCCCCATCTTCATTCCCTCGTCAACAAAACCTCTGCAGCTGCATTGCTCAGGACAGGAGCCACCGTCCCTGTGGCCTGGTCGGAGTTGAGATGTCCCTGGAAACCCACCCGGACTTCAGTGAGGTCCAGACACACGGCCAACCCCCTCAGAACGGTTTTAACAGGAGCGCTGGCCATGTCCTGGGCCTTGGGCCTTTTCACCTTCTAGAAAATGGACACTGGTGTCTGCCGCTTGTTGTGCATGTTCCTGCTCTGCG